TTATATTGCATATACATGTAATACAAAAATTATAAATACTTTTGTATTAATAAAAGCATTAAAACTCTTTTCATAAAATGTCTTTGGTAAAGAGTAGGTGTAGAGATATTCTATTTCGGGACTTCAAGGCTGAAAACATGCCAATGAATAATTATTAGATTTATATTTCAAAGGAGGAGTTATTTTTATAATCTTTTCCTCTTTCACTTCCATATTAGGAAGCATTAAATTATTTTCCATATAAGGTATGCGGCGACTGAGCCTTTTTACCTCATTTTCTGTTAGTATACAATGCAGGAACAATCGTTTTTGCGTGTCTCTTTGCGTTGTGATCCTAAAAACTATGTCAGACTTGTCCGAGAGTGCTGGCTACCCCCCTCCAGGGTGCGAAATGCTAACAGCCTACCTTCCAACAGCCTACCTTTAAATAAAACTATTGAAGAAGTATTTTAGTTCACGACTGAATTATTTGAGCTAAACATAACCAATGATAACAGGGATGTAGCCCTGTTATTATATACATGTAAATAATAACAATGTTAGAAAAGCGTAAATAGCCCCCCCCCCTTTTTTTTCCAAGCTTAAGAAATTTTTGCACAACTATAAATATTTTTAAAAATCGATAATAAATAAAAAATAATAACAATGAGTGAATGAATTTACACATAGATCTCAAATTGCGGACCTTAAAAAAATTTATTTTTCGAATTATTTTATTTATTTTTATTTACTTGTTTTTATACAAAATGATTGAAATCGTTTTTTATAAAATGATTGAAATCGTTCGAAGAGTGTAAATAATTTTTCCTCTTATCCAAGCTTCACTATTTTTCGGTAAATCTAAAAATATTTTTCTTAAATCAATAATGAATGAAAAATTCCGAACCTAACAAGAAGCAATAGTAGTAAATATAGTTTACATTTCCGGATAACTAAATAAAACCTAATATGAGATTAAATATTATTATAAATTAACGAAAAAGATATGTAGATTTGTTTGAGACATTAATTCTAATAGCTGAATTATGAAATTTTTGATTTTACTACCTATGCTCTGTCTAGGTAAATAATGATATTCAGCTCGGAATAAGATTTTCTTCTTCTTTTTACTTGATTAGGCAGCTGCATTTCAAGAGATCTCATTTTAGATATTAATCACTTACTATACGTATCCAATTTATAACATTCTGAAGAAAAATCAAAAGCTTGAAATTCAAATAAAGAAAAGGACATATTGTTTTATTTAAATTTCTCTTTATTAAGCTATGATAAATCGCGATTTATCGTAGTTGCACTGTAAAATCAATTATGTTGATTAATTGACCGTAATACATACAAGTATATAATATAAAGGAAACAAATGTTTATTATGCTTCATATTATGTAAATTAAAACACATGAGTTGTTTCTTGTGACTCACTGAGTTCTTTAATTTTCAAACGTTCTGTTCTCTTTTATAAATTTTACTACAGAAAAACTGAATTGTTGGAAACCGTTTCCAGTCGGAAAAGAGTTAGTTTTAACTAGATTCGAACCATTCAAAAAGTTTAAAAGATGAATATTCCTTTATCCCACACTTAATATTCAGAGTGTTCCGCAATAACTACGCTTAATATATAATTTCAGAATCCTTGCCAGAAATTGAGATATAAATATTTAAGATGTATACTACATAACAGGGGTGGTCAACCTGCAGCTCGCTAGCCACATGCGGCTCTTTGAAGGATTATTTGTGGCTGTCGATAAATGTACCCGAGTTCCCTTTTTATTTTTGTGCTATTATATGTTTAAAAATTATTATCATTCCTTGACGAATCGACAGATATCGCAGATCTTCCGCGATTAGAAGTTTTCATACGTTTTGTTTCAGCTGACGTCGTTGTTAAAGAAGAATTATTAGATTTAGTAGCACTTTAAGAGTCAACCCGCGGTGTCGATGTTAAAAATGCATTAGATGCCATAATGAAAACTTTTGATATGCTTCTTAATAAACTTGTAAGCATTGCAACTGATGGAGCTCCGGCAATACTGGGTAAAAAAAGTCGGTCTTATTGGGATTTTAGATTCCATTAGATTCCATAATGAAAACTTTTGATATGCTTCTTAATAAACTTGTAAGCATTGCAACTGATGGAGATCCGGCAATGCAGGGTAAAAAAAAAATCGGTCTTATTGGGATTTTAAGTGATGATTTATCAAATTCCACAATTCATACCGATTCATTGCATAATTCACCGAGAACGTCTCGTTACAAAATATTTGAAATATCCTGATGTTATGAAAACAGTGTTACACATTGTAAATTACATTCGCACCAATGCGCAAAATCATTGACATTTCCTTAAAGAATTAAAGGACGAAGAACTTCCAAATGACATTAATTTCTTTTGCATTGTTAGATGGTTATTTAGCGATGACGTATTAAATTGTTATGTAGATTTGTTTGATCCGATAACTGCATTTCTAAAAGAAAAGGAAATTACCTATTCAGACTTAGACGATGACGAGTGATTACAAGACTTATTGTTTTTAACTGGTGTCATGGAACATTTGCAAACACTGAATCTACAATTGCAGGGGAAAGATAAAATAATATCTGACCTCTCACAGTGTATATTTAGTTTTCAAACTAAATTACAACTTTTTCAAAAAGACATTAAAAATAACATTTTGTCATATTCCTCGAATTAAAAAAAATTATTCCAATATTAAACAAGAAAAACTCAACGAGTATATAAAAAAGCTAGAAGGAATATTGACAAAATTCCAAAATAGATTTCGAGACTTGAAATATTTTAAATTGTCCCTTGATTTTTTTTCTGAATCCATTTGAAATTAACATAATTTAAGGTCAGTTATCCATTTCCAATATAATTATAACCCAAAAAGCATCTGGAGAAGTAGAATTAATAGAGAGGCAAGAAGATCAAGCTCTACAGTTAAAATATAAGTCGACGCCGATTACTGAATTTTGGAAATTTGAAAAAGAATCGAAGTATCCCGAATTAAAAAAGGCTGCGTGTAAAATTATTTCAATATTCCGAACAACGTACTTATGAGAATCATTTTAGTTCACTTTAAAATTCGTGAAATCCAAACACCGATCAGTATTAACTAGCAGCATCTCAAAGAATTACTGAAAAGTGTTGTCACCAATTATTCACCAAATTTTAAAGAATTATCAAGATAAGTAAAATAAATGTGTTTAATTTTTAGTATTTAAATTCAATACACATATTTTGTACTTTTATTTATATGCTTTCCATAAATATAATTTCAGTAAAAAAAATTTTTTCATACCTTTTTTGCCTAGTCTTTAAATACGCATTTAATTACGGCTCGTGAAAAATTTCACATTTTGAAAAATGGCTCGACTATCAAGGAGCTTGGCCGCCCCTGCTATATAAGATACAGATAAATATTTAAGATACAGAAAAATGAAAACTTAAACGTTTCGTGGAAAGATCACAAGGGTTCCGTGAGCTAGGATTTTTCTTTTATCCAGTAATGATTTATGAAAACTGTAAAGTTTGTATTCAACCATTAGTCGATTATTTATTTAGTAAGAGTAATAATAATAATTATTATTATGAAATTATTTAAGTAAAATGCCAATAAAAAATGAAATAGTGAATTTCATAATATATCTTAATAAATTTTTTCTCCATTAACAATATATTGAATATTGGGACGGAATTCATTTAGTCAATTCTTTTAATACAATAGGAAGCTCAGTCCCCAGTTCACTAAACCACGTAATTGTTTCTTGTTCAACATTCTTAGTCAATATTTTCATAGTCAATATTTATTATTTTAATGGTCTTAGTTATTTACATATTCAATATTTTCCTCAAAAGCAAAGAACATATTATTAGCAAGATATACAATTGCAGCTTTTTATAGGAACATTTTGTTTCCATCCGGATCAACCAAATGCTGGAGCTGGTATCTCTTGTAATCTGTTCTCCTTTGGTGCTCCAGTGGGTGCCAATAGATCTGCTTTTGACGGGGAAGTTGTTGCAATCCGTATTGCTCTTGAACAGCTTTTTTGTTTTATTGAGTCTTTTTCAAATGTGGTTATCCTTTCAGACTCGAAGGCGGCGCTTTGCTCGATTGAATCTATGCATTGCCCTTCCAATTGCGACGTTCTAAAATGTCAGGATGCGATACGCAAACTCCACCATTTTGGCAAAACTGTAGCCCTACAATGGATTCCCGGGCATTGTGATATTGCAGGAAATGAGAGGGCTGATGTTTTGGCAAAGAGAGGCACAAGAATTCTCCAGGCTCTTAGTAGCCCAGTCCCCTTTTCAACTTTAAAAAGGATTATTAGATCAAAAATCAATGGGGATTTCCACCATCAATTGTCAGAAAGGGTAAAAACCAAAGTGTGGAGAGATCTTCGACAGAACACCATTCCAGACTGGCCGCGCCGCGAAGCGGTGGCTCAGTTTCGACTACATACCGGACATGACTGCCTTGCCGCGCACCTGTTTCGTTTAGGGCTGGCACCTGATCCCTATTGTTCTCTATGCATGAGCCAAGCTGTTTTGGATGGCAGCCACATCCTGTGCTGCAGGGCCCTCCGCGGGTCGTCGTCTACCGAGCGATATTGGGAAGCAAGAGCGCTCCTAAGGAAATGACTTTTTACTTTCTTGTTTTGTTCCTATGTTTTTGCTTTTTCATGTCAATTACCTCTGCCATTTGAAATAAATAAATAGGAACATTTTGTAAATATGTTAATCGTTACGAAATGAATTATTGCCTGGATTTCAAAAATAATCATCTGCATTTGAAAAAAAAATTAACCTAAGGAATACAGATTGTGTTACTTAATAAGAAGAAAAAAATGAGGAACAATTTTACTTGTTAACGAGACTTATAATTATTCAAATATGGAACGGTTTTTAGCAATCTTATATTAAAATTTTTAGTTTTAAAAATTTTAAAATAAATGAGTCCAGGTTTATATCTTTGAACATTCAATCTCACTCTAATTTTTACACTCTTTTTACACCAATTTAAACTCAAGCCTTAAAAATAAGTATCATGAGAGATTTTTTTATACAGTAGGAAATAAATAGTCAATATTTAATGCAGAAATACTGAGAAAGAACTCGGGAAAAAACGCTTAATATCAAGAAAAAATTAGAATTTTGAAGAAGAAAAAAACTCGTTTAAGTTAAAAATTAATTTTGTCATGTCAAACTTCAACACTGTAGTTGTATTTCAGCGGACAGCAGATCCGCTTATTTGATATATTTTAATAAAAGTTTAGCAGTTAAAAATTCTAGAACAAATTTTTGAATGTTAATTTTTTATTCTATTGCACTTCTTGATTTTTCTACATTCCACCTTATCGTAGTTTTTAAGTCTTATAGTTTTGAACAGAAAAACAAAATGTAACGTTAAGAGAAATAATAGAAAAAGAAAAAATGTTGGAAAAAATGTGCAGAAAAGCAATTTTTTGTAATGATCGAGTTTTGAAAACTGTGAAGTTTGTATTCAGCCATTAATCGATTATTTATTTAGTAATAGTAATAATAATAATTATTATTATGAAATTATTCAAGTAAAATGCCAATTAAAATGAAATAGTGAATTTTATAATATATCTTAATAAATTTTTTCTCTATTAACAACATATTGAATAAATTAGTAAAAGAACATGCATTTTCAAATGATTGTACCAGTATTAATAACAGTTATAAAATTAGGTTTTTAATAGTTTTCAGACAAATATTTTTTCGCGTATGCATGATTTAAATTTAATTGCATTGCACTTTAAAATTCAAAATAAAATATCCAAATTCAACATTTACGAATTGTTTTCTTCAATAACCATTCTCACATTTTATAACAATGTTTTTTTAAAAACCATAATTTAGCTCATTTTGTTCAATTTAATTCATGCGTACGTGAAAAAATATTTGACTGAAAACTATTAAAAGCCTAATTTTATAACTGTTATTAATGAAATAATTAAACAAATACATTCTTCACATTAAATGTTTTTAAATTAATTTTAAGGGTTTCTTTTTGTGACTTACGCCTACTTACACCTGCTAAATAACCTTTTTTAAGTCAGGGTTTCGCCGAAAGAAGTTAGATAGCTTAGGCAAAGAATATATAATGTGATAATATAATATAATTATATAATGTCTCACTTATATATTCTTTGGCTTAGGGTTCAATAGCTGAAAAAAAATTTGGGAGCCGCTGTATTAACGTACTAATAAAAAATATACAATTTAAAGGGATGAGGAATCGTGATTTGCATTAAATTCAGCATTTTATAATTAATAATATTTGTAGCTGATATTACAAATATAAATGATATTCGTGACAGAAGTTTTGGAGTTATCTCATTATAAATCAATGACTCAATAAAATCTTTTACTTTGAATTGCACATTGGATATCGTTGTTCTTGATATGCAATGTTTGCTTAGGTGAACAATCAGTTATTAGTTGTGTAATTTTGTATAAAGGGAAAAATTTGACTTCGACTTTCTTCTTTTGCTGGAAGATTCTCTGACAAAGTAAGATCGAAGTTTTTGCCTTAAGTCCCAATTAAGATTTAGTATAATGAAAATAAAAAGGAAAGGATTTAACAAAAATTCTTAAGATTCAAATAATTCGATATGGTGCTTTCTTTTCGAAAATTATCTTAATTCAACAAAATAGAAAGTTAGGGTTTAACGTTTTTTGATGAACTCACACAATACGATATAAATTTTCTGTTGCCATTCTTATTTCTACATAAATCTTATTATTATTTACGTTTTATAAAAGTGCTCTCTATCTCTCTTTTTTTAGTAAGATCTTTGGTAGAAAATCAAACCATTTTCTTTATGCATTAGTTAATTTTTTCAAAAAGAGGAAAAAATAAATAAAATTTTTTAATAACATTTAACAGCATAAAGGAATAACACGTTCAAAAAGAAACTCACGCTTGAAGGTGACATACATGTTTATGAACTTGATAAAAAAATTTTTTTTCAAGTTTTGATTTGTTAGAAAGTTATTGCTTTTTCTGCATATTTTTTCTAACTATTTTTCCTTTTCTTTTCTTTTTTTTAACATTACATTTTGTTTTTCTGTTCAAAATTATAAGACTTAAGAACTTGAAATTGCGATGGAATGTAGAAAAATGAAAGATTACAATGGAATAAAAAATTAACATTCAAAAATTTGTTTTAGAATTTCTAACTGTTGAATTTTTACTAAAACACATCACATGAACAGATCTGCTGTCTTCTGAAATACACCTACAGTGTTGAAGTTTGACATGACAAAATTAATTTTTAACTTAACGCCAGTTTCTTTTCTTTTTTTTTTTTCAAAATTCTAATTTGTTCGAAAAGTATTAAGATTTTAAGCGTTTTTTCCTGAGTTCCTTCTCAGTATTTCTGCTTTAAATATTGACTATTTATTTCCGACTGTATAAAAAATATCTCTCATTATATTTATTTTACAGGCGTGCGTTTAAATTGGTGTCAAAAGTTTAAAAAAATATAAAAGAGATTAAATGTTGCAACCTTAAGACACATCTATTTTAAAAATTTTAAAACTTAAAATTTTAATATAAAAGAGCCTATTTGAATAGTTATAAGTCTCGTTAGCATGTAAAATTATTTCTCATTTTTTTCTTTTTATTAAGTTACACAATCTGTATTCCTTTGGTTAATTTTTTTGTTTCAAATGCAGATGATTATTTTTGAAATCCAGGCAATAATTCATTTTGTAACGATTAACATATTGTCAAAATGTTCCTATATAAAGCTGTAATTGTACATCTTGTTAACAAAATGTTCTTTGCTTTTGTGGAAAATATTGACTTCGAAACTAACTAAGACTGTTAAAATAATAAATATTGACTATTAAAATATTGGCTAAAAAATGTTGAATAAGAAACAATTACGTGGTTTAGTGAACTGGAGACTGAGCCTCCTATTGTATTAAAAGAATTGACTAAATGAATTCCATCCCTAAAAATGCATTTTTTTCCTTTTAAATTTAGCAACATTAATCATTTTTAAAACAATTTATTTTCAAATTGACATGCATTATCATTGTTATATTTTCTAGCATTCAAATTGACAGTTTACGGAAACAAAATTCCAAAGAAAACTTTAACAAATTAATGAATTAAATTTATATTTTTTAATAAATAAGCCATTTTTAATTATTTTAATACAAAATGTTTAAATGATGCTCTGACTCTTACTGAAGTCATATTTATACCTATTTCATAACAATATAATATAATTTTCATTTTAGAATAAATCATGAAGGCTGTTTTAATATTATGTTTGATTTTCTGCGTCGCGGCAGCAAGTAAGTGAATTTTACAATTTATTCAAAAGTAAAACAACCTAGTTGTTGTTGCCGTTGTGGTAGGCCATTAAGGCAAGAGGGGGTGATTATTCTTGTTTTTCAGTGGTGCCATCTATGACCAAGAATTCGACTTCTGCTACAACTATATGTCACACCCGTTTATAGGTGAACCCGTTCATACATTCATGCACAGATCGTTATTTTGACTTGAACCAGAGAAAGATCAATCTTCAATTCTGTACTCCCAGATATATGATTTGTTTTTGGAACTTGGAGGATGCTGTGACCCGACAGAGTTAACGTGCACCAGTCATCATTTATTACGCGGGAAGTCTTCGGCCAGCTGGCTACGAAATCCTGTTTTCACGAACGTGAGTCCAGCACCCTTCAAATCAGGCTGTGGTGGCCCTTGGTTTAAAAATATGTTCTCTTGCCTAATAATTTAAAGCGCTTACATTTTATTAAATTTATGTATGAAAATGAGAAATTTAGATCTTTTCAACTGCCTATTACTAATCCAAACAAAGAAAGATACCACTAAACTAATGGCATAAAAGCAAATTATGTGTTTATACACGTTTAAATTTTTTTTATTTCTGCTTTGCTAGTCTACCTATTCACCAATTCAATGATTCGTTTTCCCTCTTAATCATTCTTTTTCTTCTGTATTCATTCCTTATATTAACCATTTAAATAGCTACAAAATGAAGGCAGCATGTCACATAGTTGAAATTTGAAGGATAGATAAAGCATGATGTGTTGGAGTGGTCGCCTTCCAATGAGGTGAACCGGGTTCTAATCCCAACGATGACTGGTCGATGCAAATTCTGCACCCAGCTTGCACTGACCACAGTGCTGACATAAAATATCCTTAGTGGTAGACGCATCATGGGTTAGTGTCCATGGGTAGGTTATCGTGGACTTCCTTTTTATGTAACGCAAATGCGGCAGGTTAGTTCCATCAAAAAAATCCTCCATCAAGGCAAATTTTCCCCAATACTTGATCCAAGAGTTTCCTTGTCTTCAGGATTAGGTTCAAAATTACAGGGCTACGGAGTTGAACAGTTGTAGCCGTAAACTCAAATATTTTTGTCGGTTGTTCAACGATGGTTATGAAATTAATAAGCAATAATATAGCTCAATTAGGTGGTAGTAGCGACATCTGTAATACGTGATTTGACAGTAGTTTTATAATACCTAATTTGCATTTGAACATTATTTTCGACTGAAAGAGTTTTCGTAATGCATCTTGTAAGGATAAGTTGGAACAATTTTTTTTGGAATGGGAATACGAATTGTTCAATAGTAGTGATACACCTATTGAAATCACTTCAGTATGTATCATGTTAATTTGAGTTAAAATTCTAATAAACATATAAGCGTTAAATTAAGAATTTAATGATTTAAAATATTCTTGAATACATATTGATACATAAGTAATACAAAGGGGAAAGAATCTAGGATTCACTCACTAGGTGCGTCATCTCTAAACCAGGTCACCTTTTCTCAGCTATGCAAACATTCTACTGATTCCTAAATGGGTGCAACCTCTACAGCAAGAGGGAACTTCGCCAAACTCACCCTTTGGCTCACTTTATCGATGTTTTTGGCGCACTTACTATTTTGGGACTCCTTGCTCTGCATCAGTAGTGCCAACATTTAGTTGCCATTCACACCCACAAACTTACAGCACTTAGTCGGTTTATTCCACTCAAGCTATATAGTTCATCTTTTTGTTTTTAGACATCTCTAATATTCCAAATTAAAGGCTTGACTAAAAGCGGGGTTATTCAGTTTTAAATTAATATTATAATATTCCTGTATTATGCATCATTCATAATAAACTTAATTAGTACTGATTAGTCAATAAATTTTACTAATAAATCTCTGTGAACCCAAGGTTTTCTTCAGTCTTCACAATTGCGAATCCTGATAACCGGGTGCTAACAATAAATCCTTTTTCAAATAACGAAAAATTTACCGTGTGCCCACACCCACAATGCACCCACATACCTTACTTATTCTAGCATTCTACTAATGTTTCACCCACATTATAAATATATTTTACATACTTTTTGCCACTGACGCGCACAGCTGTGTCTAATCCTTTCGACAGTATGTTTGTAACAAACTAATCTCTTTGTCGAAAAACACCTAGTAATCTTTTATTGTAACTAACATTCAAATAGAAGTTTTTTTTTTCAAAGGGGATAAATTGTTGAATTAAATCTGTTTTAATATAATAAAGAAATTGTGGAACTATCACTTGAATTTTTTCGAATATCTGTGTAAGAAATATTTTATGATCTGGAAACAAAAAGCGATTGCGCCATCAGAGGGGTTGGCTAGCGACTCGAGCAGGGGCAGAGTTCCATACTATATAAAAAAAATTTATTTTCTGTTTATAGNCTTAGAATTTTGTGCATTTGCAATGTACCTAAGTTAGTAGCGAGCGAAGCGAACTTGGATTGCGTAGCAATTTTCGTGGGTTGGCGAGCGTTAGCGAGCAGGGGGCGCGGCCCACTAGTATTAAATATTTCTGTATTATGCATCATTTATAATAAACATATTTAGCACTGATTAGTCTATAAATTTTACTAATAAATCTCTGTCAACCCAAGGCTTTCTTCTGTCTTCACAATAGCGAATCCTGATTACCGGATGCCAACAGTAAAACCTTTTTCAAATGACGAAAAATTCACCATTTTTCTCAATACATTGCACTCATCGTGAAGTGCACCCACACACCTAACTTATTCTAGCATTCTACTTAGGTTTCACCCACATTATAAATATATTTTACATACTTTTTGGCACTGGCGTGCACAGGTTTCTAATTCATTGGCCAGTATGTTTGCTAATTACTATCGAAAAACACTTAATAAGCTTTTATTTGGGCAAAATTTCATATAGTTTTTTTAAGGGGGTAAATTGTTGAAGGTGTTAACGTAACAAAAAAATGTTATTAGATTGAAGTTTTATCCAAATCGAATCAGGAATTAAATCTGTTTTAATACAATAAAGAATTTTTTTATCTTTCACTTGAATCTTTTCTAATATCTATGTAACAAATAATTTATGATCAGGAAACAAAAAGCGAATGCGCAATCAGGGGGGGTTGGTTAGCGAAGCGAGGAGGGACAGAGTTCCATACTAAATTAAAATTTTCATTTTCTGTTTTTAGGAGACTATTGTCCAACAAAAGACCCAGCTGTCTGCGTTCAAGCGCTGAACGAATGCTGCAAAGATTCTGACTGTGAAGACCAGATATGCTGTACCGAAAACTGTGGTAATAAATGCAAAGAACCAGTTCCAAAGCGAACAAATGGAGAGCGAGTGACTTATGGTTCCAAGTGCGAAATTGCTCCATCTTATCAGAAATGCAAGTGATCAGATTATTGCATCAATTTACAAAATAATTGGCTACAGTTTATAGTTAATTAGTGTTTTGAATAAAATATTTCCTTACAAGAGCTGTTTGATTTTATTTGAGCCTTAGTTTTATTTAGTGACAATTTTACGCGACAGTTAAATTTAAAAGATGCTGCCGCAGAACACAATCACTATCGACTACGCTGATTTTGTAATGAAGTAAAATTTTCATTTCTTTTGTGGGTGCGGGGAAAGGTAGGGAACATTTTCCAGAGACAGGCACAGCTGACGGAAATTATTTTCGATTTCACAATTTGGAAATCGAAAATAATTTTTTTCTTTCTAATAACAAAATGCATTCAAAAGCATTTTGATGCTTCTAGTTGAGAAAAACTTTAATGCCTACACAAAGGAAATTATAATAATAAAAAAACCTTAATTAATTTATTATTTTCACTGTTAAAAATATCCTTCATTAATTCCTATTGTTTTATTGAGGTCATTTCTTGTTTCCTTTGTGTGATTATCTTAGATTAAGTGCTCTATATATTTGCAGCTTCATGTTCACCTCAAACATACTAACTATCATGCGATAATAAAAATTACAATTTGCTTGCAATGAATAAACCTCATATGTTTTTTTTTTCAAACTAAACAAAAGTCAATATAAAAAAGCTAAAAAATAATGATATCAAGGAATGCAAACCTCGGATTCAAGCTCTTAGCCGGTGGCTCTTTTAAAATTGGCACTGGTGAAACAAATAAAATGAAAGTCTACTTGTTGAAATTTTGTTTTTCGTAGAATTCATCGGTATAAGCACAGAATAAACAGAGTAGTAATCCATTTCTTTCCTCCGGTCGTCACCACTATAGGTGTTCTAGATCGAACACCAAATGGGAATTATTTAAAACATAATTGAAGTTGTTTAAGATTACGTGCTTTAATTATTGGAACAATTAAAAAAACTTAATTTAAACCATTTTTTTAATAACAATAATATAAAAAGATAATAATAAAAAATACAACTGACAGCTCGAAATTAGCAATTCTAGAGCTCGAATATGAATAAACAGAGTTTGTAAAAAATAGAATGAATAAATAAAAATAAATAAAAAAATTTCTTAGAACTAGTGACGCCATCTGTTGGCATTTTTTGAAGTTACGGTCCACCACATTGAGTACTACCTTGGATTATGATTATGTCTTAAATAAGCTACAGTCCCATACGAATTTCTCTGATTGAAGTTGTTTTCATAACAACATTTTCAAACCTCCCGAAGAAGAAAGAAAAAGAGCTCTAGCATATAAACCGAATAAAAGCCCAAACAAATCACTTTCCTAAAATTAAAAGACCTTTTATAAAGACTCAATAACGGACATCACAGAGTAGGGGATGCTCATAATTTTTGAGAATCTTCATTAATCTGAATTTTTATAACTTTATTGTAAACTTTGAAAAAACTATCAATCTGAAAATGCTTATATGTTTATGCTGCTATAAGTAGTATAAACATTTTAACAAATGTTGATTTGTAATCTGTAATAAATAGGAATATGATTTGTTTCTAGAAAACAGACATTATCAAGGTACTCGGATAGAAATTAAATTAACTTTTTTATTTAACGCTACACCAGGCAGGCATGATTGGAGTTCATACGCAAAGTATGTCCAGATACTATTATCAGATGCACCGTAGTGAGATCAATTGCGTGTGAGTTTGGGAAGTTAGAGTTAGAAAAGCTCGTTTCATGGATTGTGAAGGAAGACTTGCGCAATCATGTATGCGTGATCATGGTCCTGAAAGAGTTAAATCCTCTGATTAAACAAAGTTATGCTCGCACAAGTTCTCTTTATTAAAAAGTTTTAGAAAACTGAACTACCTGAACGTAAAAATTATTTTACAAAATGTTGGCTTTCCCAGCCTTTTAACGATATCGGCTTTTTTTTCCTCCATAATTCTTAAAAATAATTGTAGTTTAATTTTTTTTATGCAAACATTGTTCGAATTACTTCGACCGGTGCCGATTTCAAAAAATAAAATTTTTTTTTTTTTGGGGGGGGGGGATTGGAACTCATATTTAATTATCACTGCTTTTTCAGTCTTTCATTTTAATATTCGTCTATTATAAAAGAGACTTATCAGGTTTTTCAGGTTCTTTTTCTTTATTACAAACAAATTGGAAAAAAACAAAAACATTTTGCACATTGGTGTTTATGTTTTGAGGTTGACGGTTTTCTTACTTCTTAAAATTTTTTTTGACGGAATCCGAACTAGAATCGAGTTTTCAGAAAATAAAAGCTCCAGCAAACTAAAGTTTGAATTGGTATCGTATGTAAGGAATTTTTGAAAAAAAAATCATTGAAAGAAGATATCCATATAATTTTTTTATTTTATTTAAAAAGCTCAGAGTATCTTCAAAATATCAGAAAAAAAAATTTCCTGATAGATTTTATGTTTAAATAAACACGTGATTTCAGATAACTTTATAAATACTATTTTGGAGACGGAAACCGCTTATCCTACCACGACGATGTTGATTGTACAGATAATCTAGGATTAACGAATAAAAAAATAATTAAGTATAAAAGATGTCCAAGCCTTAGGGTGAATTATATCACTGAGTGGAATAAATCAATTAGTTTCGAATCGCCCAACTGCACTATATCTATTTGATGATTCGTATTCATCAGATATGTTCATATTGGTTGCTATCTGCAACCGATTGTTCATTGATGGAAGACCAACGGACAGGTATTGGACAGAGATTGATTGATATTGATGGAAACTTGTTTTGCTTTGAGCTTGGATCGTGTAAACAAACATCCAAGAACTTGGTCCAACTTCTTGGACGATAGTAGAGCATGTTCTACTTTCCATCCAAGTTTTTTCTCCCTTAACCAATCAGCGTCTTAGGTTTTGTGACGTCAACAAGCTGGCAGCAAATTATGTCATTTTGTTGTGGGTTTTCATA